TATTAGCCTTGTGTTTACAACTAATCATGAGAAATGTTGTCAGGTTCGACATTAACGTTGTCCTGTTAGAAAGTTAAGAACAAATAAACATATAATCAAAGTTATATAATATGTTTCAAGCGAGTTGATATCAAAATTATGGAACTTATGTTATTTCCAGCACCTTCTTAAAAGCACAAACTGCACCCTTCAAGAACCCTAAAGTTTACGCTTCTTACTCTGTTCCAACATGACACTTGCGGTCTACAGCGGATCGGATTAACACGTCCATTTTGCGTGGCAGGTGCAGCACGGTCAGATTTCCACACCCGTTTAAATTTATAATATTTATAAGGCTTTCAGGTGTGGAAATCTGACCGCAAACTGAGGTGTCGACATGTTGCACGTAGGATTCTAAGGGGAAAGGGTTTGTGATGTTTTTGAAATCAAGAAGCGCAACTTTTGGCACCCCAGTGTATTTCATTTGCCTTTAGTGGGCCTTGGACATCGACATATATGGCCAGCTGGATGATTGGCTTGTGATATCATGTCAAAAGTGAAACATGAGATTTGGAATGTCTTCGTTAACAACATTGACACAACCAGTCTTCCCAGTTGTGGATTTGACGATTCTTCGATGTCTCCGAGCACTGGGATGGCTTGAAGCACTTCATCTATGCATGCCTCCGAGCGAAGTGGGGTTCAAATAGTGAGGGATTGACCCGTGGAAGGCTCTTCTGGGACTCCTCCCCAAAGTAGCCAGTCTTTCAGTTCCTGTTGTTCCCAAAGTGGATCTCACACCAGGGTAGCCTAGTTCAGGTGAGCTTCTGCAGGTCCGGCCCCTCGCCATAGATTTCTTCTAAGGCTGCTTTCGCCACCTCGGCTGGCATGATGAACTCGCCGCCCACCGGCATTGGCCGAGAGAACGAGAGGAACCTGGGCGTCGTGGCGCGGTCGGTGAGAATTGGGAGAGTCCTCATGAGGACTAAAAGCAAGCACAAAATCTGATGTAAAGTCATATACTGTATTGTATTATAGATTGTTAAATATATGTATTTATTGTATTTATTTATAGTTGTCTATCCTTTTTGCAAATATCATACTGATGTGTAAATAAATATATATATATAAGTGGATACGCTGTGTGTGTGAGCCACTAAAAAACGCTGTTTGGCATTGTTTGGCACCTTCTGGGGTGGACCTTCTCTCTCGCTCCCTCTCTGCGAGGTTGCGGTCACTTGCGGAATATCACTTATGAATGTATATACGTCTTCCTTTGGAAGGTGGATAAGTTCATGAAGGCGTGGGCCGATTGTGCTGGGTGGAACTAACATTGCTGGGTGGAGCGCGAGAAGAGACCATTGGCACAAATGAGGACGATACCTCCAAAAGAAAATCCCCTATCCAAGTAACGTCTTGGGCCACCGAAAGCACGCATCAAACGTGACATAAATTTCTGCCACACCCATTCACTCTTCCTTTAAGAACGACCACAGCAGCTATGGCAATAGAACACCCCCCCAGCCTTGGATCACTGCAGTTAGGATCAGTTAGGCAACTCATTGACCCATGCATCGTCTTCCGCAATCTTGTTCACCCTCTTGAGCTGTTTCTTGATGAGCCGGTTGCTCAGCTGGCCGGCGCCCGCCTCCTTAATGCGTGACACAGTCTTCATGACCTTTTCCTTCTTGGTGAGGCGCTTCAACGCTCGTCTCTGCAGAAGATCTCCCCGAGACGGCGCGGACCGAAGGCCAAGGTGGCCCAAGAAGGTCCATGAGGCCGAAAGGAGAATGGTCAGAAGGAAAGGCCAACTCGGAGCGAGAACCCTGCTCATCTTGAGAAATCAGCGCTTTGAGCCATTCATCCAAGCGGAATCACAAAATGGTTTGAAACTCTTTGTGCTATGCCGAATTGACAAATAGGGATAAAGGTGCACAGGGGCAAGTTGTTCCCTCTGATCGAACACGTTGGCTTAACATGGCTTAACAAGGACAATCACTGCATCCTGCATCCATCCTCCATGCGGAACCGCCCTACTCCTGGCCCTGGAGCTCTCCGGCTCTCCGGTCAAGAGACGCATCAGCAGTATCTGCCGGAACAGCCTGCACGGCGCCCGCAGCCCACAGTCCGAGGTGTTACTAACCAGTAGCAAGAAGCTACTAGTAGCTCCTGGCATTACTACTACAGTAGTAGCAAGAAGCTACTAGTAACAAGGGCATTACTTCTAGTAGCAGGAAGCTACTACTGGCCAGGAGGAAATCTTGGGGAATCTCACAGTGACCCGCCACTCTGTAGTGCCAACAACCCACGGTTGTGGGCAGGGCATTCCGTATATTCCATGTCAATTTTGCAAGTCCAGTGTGCACAAGTATTGGAGCTAACCTTTTTACCCAACACATCCCAACACTGATGCAGCTGCGCTAAAGAAACATCTTGAAGCTGCTAGAAGCGATGCGCGCCATTCTGTTTCTCTATATGCGACAGTCGTGTGTGGGACGACAAGTGCTATGCCGCACTGTCCAGCAAACAAGTGCTCTCGGTCGTTCGGCCTGCAGCTCGTCCTCCCTCAACATCCGCTCCCTTTGGGCAAGCAAGCTAACTGTACATGAGGCATCATGCGCCGACTGGAAAAACCGACATCCAGGTCATGCTGGCCAACAAGTGTGCATGAGACAAGTGTGCATGTGCTGCATGAGTCTTGAACAAACGAACATGCCGCTCGTCTCAACTATGAGTCATGCTGTGGGCAGATCCAATATCATGGGCCATGGCGGCCGTTGCTGTCTGTTCTGCATGACGAAGTGATGGAATCGACTCCGTCGCTCTCCGATGGAATCGAGTTCAGTGGTCATGTGCTCCGTCGCTGGTCGAACTGAACAATGCCAATACATAGAGCTCTCAAGTGAGAGCTACCTACTATAAGATCAAGCGATGGAAGACGGGTAGCAATGGGTCACAGCCGAAGCGGACAGCAGATCTGTGGAACAAAAGCTGGATGACATGCAAGGATGGGCCTGTGTTCTTGCAATCAAAGCATTGAATGGCAGTAGCAGTAAGGCTGTACCAGGTGCTGTCCAAAAAAGTAACAAACATCACCAACTCAGCATTCCTGACCCTATGGCCCCACAAGCCTCAATTGACTCAAAGGCTCCTTTGTGGGCACTCTACCCGCTGACAACAAGCACACCCAGGATAGATTGGGTTGGTAAGTATCATTGGAGAAGTGGAATGCAAAACTAAACTCATAGGCAAAACGAATCATCAAAGAAACACATCACTGGGAACTTCCAACCTCTGATCTCTGATGGCAAACCTTCCCCGAGCGAAACATCGAGCCACCCATGTATAACTGCATAACTGCATAACATATCTAATTCATTCTAATTCTATCTATCTATCTATCTGTCTATCTATCTTCCGTAGGTAGGCTGATTCCACTTATCCGAAATGCCATGCAAACAATATCTTAACAGTAAGCCGCTTAGGCACTCCATGAGCCGAAGCCTGGACCCCATCAGCCGAAGCACTGTGGATGATTTTTCCGCAAGCATGACATCGCTGTGACATCATGCAAGAAAGCTCACGCCTCAAGAGTTCTCTGCCGTTGCTGTCTTTTCAAGAGTTCTCCATCTTTCTAGAATGCGGATCAATAAATAGGCTCACAAGGTGGGAAAAAGCTTTCAACGCTGATTGCCAAATAGACTTTGTGCTATGATTGCTATGAGGCTACGAGGATCAATCCCCCCAAATCTGAGCTAGAAGCTAACTATTTCGCTTTTGTTTCCTTGCATTGTCTTTGCCAATCTTGACCCGCCAACAAGCGCGGATGGCTTCAACAGGCGTTGAAGACTGAGGTGCCAGCTGGTGAGATTGCTGAGTCGTTGTCTGGCCACCTGGTCGTTTCTGGATCGCTTCTGGTCGAGCAGAAATGTCCAGCGGCCTTTGGGGTTCAACCATTAGGGCAAAGCAGCAAAACAAACAAAGCAGCAAAAACACGAACACACATATGTGCATATATGTGTATATATCACTGGTACAGAATATACATAACATATATGTATTATGGATACAATTTATAAATCTATGCATGTAATTACACATTTGACATCTCTTGACAAACACACACACAAATACATACAATCCACACTTTAGCCAACATCTGGAGTGTCATGTAGTCGAGTACATCCACTTCCCGCCTGCTCCAGGTTCGAAATCTGTGCCACTGGCACCTGAGGTCAAAAGGAAGATTGGATCATGGCAGGTCGCTCTATTTTGCGGAAAAATCATAGCATAAGCATATATTATGTATAATTAGAGTACTTGACCTCAAAGGCGATGGAAAGGGGTTCCGAGATGCTTGGGGGTCAAGAAACACTGTGCACAGCAGCTCCAAGGCTCAATTGCCTTGATGGTGGGCGAAAGTGAGTCCCATCATCATGAACTCAGTCTAAAGGGCCTTCACGTCATGAACCTTTGATGGAATCCTCTCATCTCCGCATGCTTGCCTTGCAGCCAGTGAGATTCATCTCCAGTACCTCCAGGAGGGTTGGAATTACGGGGAATGCTCTACCTTGTATGTCCCCACCAAATCAGCGTGACGTCGACGTATGAAAGGGTCGGTTTTCCAGCACGAGCTGGTCTTTTGAGCTTTTGCCCAAAAAATTGTTCATTCATTCATGATTCTTTTGATCCCACCTCTAGTAGGTTGGTTGTCGCTGTTAGGGTGGAGGCCATCGTGCTTATTGGAGGTCATTCATTACTTTTCATGATGCTTTTGATCCCACCTCTGAGACGTCGAGGGTCTTTGAAGTGGGATGGATCTCTTCAAAAGGGAAAAGCACCGAAACTGCTCTGGAGACTCTTGCGGCCTAATGTTAGCCGAAGAAAGCCTGGTTGCATTAAGACATAATATACAGTAGAAACAGTTTCCAAGGCTGGCAGCCACACTGAACCCACCACCTAGTCTTTCTGTTGAGCAGGACCAGCAACACCGGACGCGCTGCATTTTCGCCTGCAACGACTTTGGTAAGGTAAGAAGAAAGGCCTCGGACGGGAGTCTGTGCGTGTGCTAGTGGCTGAGAAACAATGCAGGGGTTCACAACAAGCGCAGCTGCTCTGGTCCAGTGTGCCCAGTTTCTATTTATATATTGTTTCTACATGTGTCTACTAGCTTCTTGTTCCTAGTAGTAAGGCACTTGTTACTAGTAGGGATGCACTTGTTCCTAGTAGCTTATTGTTTCTAGGTTAAAGACTATACCTGCTGGGATGAAATAGAACCGCATCACACCTCTTCGCGAGCCACCTCCTGCATCTTCACACTGCTTCGCAAGCAAGGCCTACGCGCGCAAGGCCTACGCCGCACCAGTCCGGAGGCCAGTCTGGCGGCGCCTTGAGGCTGTCAAGCCCCAGAGCTGTCATGGTCAGATCCTTAGCGCTGTCGCCAGCGAGAAGCGAAAGAAGCGGATTCGACCAACACAGAAGCGCACGAGAAGCCGGAAGCAGGTGATTTTGTTGGAAGTCCGTCACGTGCCGCTCAGGCGTGTGGGGCTCGTCTTGTCAAGTGCAAAAGAAGAATGAATCACCTCACCTCACCGAAGTGTCCTTCTATCTTCTACCATTTGCCTCTTTTCATGATGATCTTCAGTGAGATCGCCATATATAGGTTGCCGCGCCGAGAGCGCTTCAATATGCTTTATATAATCCGTTTGATCCTTCCCCAAACCTTGGTGCACTTGGAGACCTGAAACAGGTATTGGAGGCATGCTGGATGGGGCCGGCCAAGATCTCCAAGGGGCCAGCTGCAAGGAGCTGATGCGAGGAGGCAGCCTAAGGCCTGGGATGGTCCAGTTGGACTGGATCCCCAGTCCACCCTTGACTTGGTTCGATATGAATCGACAACCTTGTAGTAGTTGAAGGATGGTTTTGGATGGTTTTGGACTGGATCTCTTTCCAATTGCATATTCGGAATTGCCACCATCCACCCCAAGCCAAGCTGGGAGGTCCACGTCCAACCGTTTTCGGAATCAAAGCTGCAAGCTAGCGATGAATCTCTTCGTTTGCATCCCTTAATCCAATCATATGCAAACAAAAACAAAGGACCGCGTGAACCGGGAGGTTCTGTTGGAAACATCCATGGCCGCGCGGCCTTGGCGGCCGCGTGTTTCAGAAATGCGTGTTTCAGGGTCGGGTCGCGGGGCAGCGATCGTCGTGCTTGGTGGGACAAACCAGAGAAGGACGATCACCTGCTACTAGTACCTGTCCAAAACATTCCCGCCGCAATGCATCACATGCGCGGGTTCAAGGGCTCTCCGTGCGCCCCCGTGCTCTCGTCCGTGCGAGTCCACAAATGGCTTGCTGATTGCGAAGTGAGGTGTGGGAGTGAACTCGGATTTGTCCCATGGGTGTCACATAGGGTAGGAATCTGTATTTCGAATCGATGCATGGCATTGCATGGCATGGGTTCATCGCTTGAACCCGATTCTCGAGCTCTCGGGCTCTCGGGCACCGCATGGGTTGAGCATTTGCCCTCCCGAGCCTCGAAGTCCTTCAGGACCTACTTCCTGAGTCGATGGAAAGAGGAACGAGGCCGAACGAGGATGGGCACAGAGCCCATCAGAGGATGGTCTGGGGCCTGTTAAAGGATGGTTCTGCACCCACATGCACCCACTATATAGCTTTCATGACAGCTCACACCATTTAAGGTATACATTAAACATCATTAAACCATGTTTTAAAGGCTCTTCTGTCAGGGCATCACTTCTAGCCAGGCATTCTTTGCAGAACCCGAAGGGCAGCCATAAACCGCCATAAACCCATCGTGCCACCTCTAACATGTTTTGGATCTCTTGGATTCAGCGGCCCAAATGAATCAACATGAGAAAATGCCAAACTGCAGAATCGGTGCTCCTACGCTGGCTACTGATGTTTCCTTCCCTCTGATTCTCTAAGATCTCTAAGCACAAACCCCATTCATCATATTTCACCATGGCGAGATGAAACGCACAAACCCCATCCCAGTGAGCTGCAGAAGGCCTCCTCATCCCGGGTGTCCCCACACACTTGGCCAAGTCCAAGCGGAGTCTCTGAAGAGTCTCAGGCCTCGGCAAAGGCCGTGCTGCCGCGGAGGCACGGTGCTAGGCTACTCGGTTCTAGGAAGCTCCTGGGACGAACAAGAATGGCCGCTTCACTTGACGGTCAAAGCATGCTGACGGTCAACTTCGAACCTTCGGTGAACAAACCACGATTTGGACTGACTGGCCCTACCGCAACACTGTTCGAGCTCACCCTGTTTGCAGCTGTCTGCACTGAGGACACGGCAAAATCAATGCCTACAGCAACATGGTAGTTGAATCTACGACTTGATGGTCACAAGCGATAGTCAGCTCCTTAGAAAATGCGTCAATAGACTTGTCATTAGCAGTTGATCGTAATACAGTAGTTCAAACATGCTACACGTCGCCCAAAGGATGCAAGTTTTGATTCATCAGTCATCAGCCTCAGCAATTTGCCATAATTTGCCCATGCCGCGCTAGTCGTGAGTTGTAGTGCCCTGCAACCTACTAGCGATGGCCTCCAACACCATCACTCACGGTGAAGATCAAACTGTGTGCATACTTACTTGGCACTCACCTCGCAAGTGGTCCATTTTAGCCCACAGGGCTTGCGCAAGAGGTGTCAGCCCAGCTGCAAACCGTCTTGGCAAGCTGGGCATCTGCTAGGCATCGCCAGGGTCTTATACTGCGTTGGCAGACGGACGTGGCGGAAACTAGTGATCCCAAATTGTTCGAGGAAACACCGCTGATGAGCGGATATTGAATCGATGCGCTTGAAACTTGAATCCAGGTCCCAAGAAGTTTGCAACATGTTCTCCATATCATATATATTATACTGCAAAAACTATTGAATACATGACATGCAACATTGGATGTGGGCCACGTGGGATGTGATGAAATGAGGCGAAATCCAGCGCATCAAAACTTGGCTCCATCAGGAGGCTGGGTCATGTAAAAATTGGCTCTAAAAGGCAAAGTGCTGTAGTGCTGTAGTTCATCACGGTTTCTTGTTTGCTAATTGGCATGGTCTACAAGTTTGGACATGTACAGTGTACATATGCATATAAATATATATATATACATTTAAATATATATTATTTGTTATTACTACTCTCTTTTCTAGGAAACATTGTGGGATGAACCACTTCACTTGGTAAATTTGGCCCCTCGGAGGCACAAAGTGTCATGTTGATCGCTGAGATCAAAATGAGAAACAGTTGCCAGTCTGGAGCATGCATGCAGCCAAGCTTGCACAGCGCCAAGGTGGTGCACGTGTACATCGCAATAAAGCACTCTTATTGAAGTCAGCACGATTGCTCGAATGAAACTAACCAAATCTGCTACATCTTTTGAGTTCTCCCATGTTCTCCCCAACTGCGCACATTCCTGTCACATCCACATGTACGCAAAAGAAAGGGCCCAAACGGCCAAATCACATTGACACCCGTTCGGCTTTCACCTCCAAAGTGTCACAGGTGGACCTAGTTCCCTTCGCTTTGGCCTGGCAAACAGCCAACGTCAGAAGATGTCAGAAGGGTGTGTTTTTTCCCCGGAACAGGGCCACAACTTGTCGTGAACGACGTGGGTGATGTCTTGCATGACGTGGGTCGGATCTATAGAATGGCTCGGCCCCCGGTTGTGCAGGCTTTGCGGTCGTTTACTGCATCGGTACGTAGGTGACTAGGTGTCCCATCCCAGGTCCATCCTGTGACGTTTCGTCTTCTCGGATTGGTCGGATCTGTTCGAAAACCTCGGTAAGCATTTCCTTGGCAAACTGAACATGCATCAACGCAACCTCGGATGTTTCAGTGCGAGCGTTCATTGCTCAAGATTCCTCAGTTTTGGTACCTTTTGGTGGCTCAAAGGTGATGCCTTCACATCGGACGATCGGACCGTCCCCAGCAGGTGATGCCGGAGTCTCTTCGATGCTCTAGCAATAGCCTCCCACCTACTAGCGATGGCCTCCCTAAGAGCGATGGCCTGCAACCTACTAGCGGAAGACCCGGTGTCACACAAGGCCTTGCTTTACATCTTGATATTCACCATTGCTGGGGGCACATATATATATATATATATATATGTCTAAGGTGCCCACCCCCTAATGTACATCGTGTTGATCCCGGATCTGGAAAAAAAGAACATGTGATGCCCGCTGCCCTCCACGCCTCCAGGCTGGGAATTTGCTGCAAATCCAGGTCCTTCCTGCCTGGCATCTCAAACCCCTTGGTTTAAAGGTGTCCAAGGTGATCTCCGTCTAGCATGGGTTTGGGTGTCCGTCTTCAGATCCCGCAAGTCACAACCACCATGTTCCACGCAGTGTACATAGTGTAAATTAGTAACAAGTGCCACGCTAGTAGTAACAGGTGCCTTACTAGTAGTAACAAGAAGCTATTAATTGTAATTAGTAGCTTCTGGTTACTACTAGTGAGGCACCTGTTACATCCTGTTACTACTAGCGTGGCACTTGTTTCTAATAGCTTTTTGTATACTGTATAATTTTTGAGGTGGGGGCACAGGGCACATACAACTGGGCACGAGAGCTTAGCAGTTTCAAAGTGCTGATCTGGGGCATGCAGATCTTTTTGCTCTAATTATATAAATACTTTGTTTTGGATGGCTTGGTTCCCGTGCAAATGCAGCCAAGCTGCATGAGAGGTAGCTTCTGCCATGCAAGTGTTGCTCAAGGATGAGGACGATGCCTTCCAACAGCACGAAAATGCTGCGCTGATCAAGTGCAAACGTAGTGGGAGCTCACAAGATTGACCTGACAGGTATTTGTTTCCTCAGCATCCGCATAACCTACTGGTCCCAAACTGCCAATCCCCAAACCTGCCAAAACTGCAAAAGCTCAGCACGTCCGGTCAAACGACGGGCTGCCATCCACCGTTCCCCCGGGCGTTTCCGCGCGTCCCGCGAGGTTCCCCTCCGAGGGACGGAGCACATTCCTGGGCCGAGGGACGCGGACCAACGGCCGTTCGGCCGAAGCCGGGGCCAAAAAGGCCATGCGAGTGACACCCGGGAAGAGTGATTCACATAGACCCTGATGGCATGGACATGCAAGGAAGACAAGCCCTAGCTTCCTAGCTTCCTCCACAAGACAGTGGTGTTCAGGTGCCTAAGTCTGTCAAAGTCGAGTGTTGCGAGGAAAGCAACAGCTGGACATTGGATGACGAAAAGCCTTGCAAGCAACAAGTTAATTGATAGACAAACATTTGCACCAATCGTTGTCATCCATCAAGAGCAACTATGGTCTTGTCCCTCCAGCTAGACCCAATATCCCGACAGAATAACATCCCCAGTTAAACATGACACCTCCAAAAGGGATGGACATCTAGCTGGCCTCCAACGTTGGGTGACGAATCCAGTGGAAATTGTACTTATGCACACCTCACATGGAAGCTTCATAGTTACTGACCGTATCCCGCGAAGAGGGCATCAATAACGAAGCGTTTTGATTGTACTGACTTACAACTCAAAGGAAAAAGGTGGATTCGCTTGGGCTTTCTGGATGCATGCCAACGGGTAAATGGGAGGAACATGGAGGAACAAGGGATGAATGAGGCTTCCAACATGCACCGATCCACTCCATCCGAAGCGGCGTCCGGCTCACAGTGCCGCAGGAGAGTGCCACAGCCAAACGAGAAAGGAGGTGCCCTGACGTCCGGCGAACCAGGGCGAACCGACATCTGCAGGAGGCGTTGCAAGAGTTTTGGGGTTCCGAAGGAGCCATGATCTTGCGAACCTTCGGGATCAACCTAGCGGGGCAAGGCTCTCAGACTGCATGGGACCTCGGCGATGCTCCTTGAACTCCTAGGCCACCCTTGTTGGGCACTCCACCTCTCAAAGCTCTAATCAGTAACCAGTTGAGTATCCATCAGGGGGATCTTGTTGCTGCTTCTGGTCCCATCTGATTTGCTGCTCAATCATGATTCAATAGTTCAATCATGATGGAATTCTCCTAATTATTCTGCAGGCCTGCAACTCGCCACCTCAACCACCGAAACAATTAAGTGCCGCACAAAAACCGGGCAGCAAAGAACCGGCTGATTGCAAAGAGCTATAGGCGAAATTTACGCAACGCCTTACAGCGATCCAAATCCCATCAACAAAAGGCTTATATCATCGGTGTCAGAGTTCGGATCCTCTACGCAGCCACGCCCCCCAAGTGTCCACACTCCGGCAAAAATCACAGAGGCAACTCGTTTCTGCTGAACTATACCTGGCGAAGCCCTGATCCTGATGCACCCGGCCGTCTGCTGAACACCCAAAACAAGCCAAGTGCACCTAGCCCCAGGCCAGCCAGGGGCATCACCACCGCCGCCGTGATCACGTGGGACTCAACAAAGGCCAGGAAGGCATGGAATGTCCAAAGGAAGTCACTTATTGATCTTATATTTCAGACCATCCATTCATGACCTATGTACTTCCTTTGAGGTCGTGCTCTGAGCGTCGGGGTGAGCGTGGGCACATATATATATATATTCCATACATGGTTCAACTCCAGTCTTTCACGTGGAGTCCAGTTCCAGATGCTTTCTCTTTGGAACTCGAGGTTTCGTCTCACAAGGCAGGCGTTTCTTTTCCGGGGAGATTGAGAGGCTTCAGCCCAGTCGCCAGGCACATGATTTCTCCGAGGTGAAGGGTAGCCAATAGAGCAATTCTTTCAATGCCCGGATTCACAGGTGTAAAGACATAATTAAAAACACTGATGCCAACAATATAAACATTGATAAAACATTGGTTAAGCAAACAAAATAAACATTGATTAAACGCATTCACAATAATGCCATCCTGAAGCCACAACATCACTGAGATCTGTGCCACCGACTGCCAAAGGTTGATAGACCAAGGCCAAGGGTGAGCCTGCAGCTGTGGGTCGCATTACCTAAAAAATGTTGGCCTACTTGAGGATGCTTGCCTGATTACCATTGTGTCCTCAGTCGTTGAAGAAAAGGTAAGGTGCACTTCGTTCTTTGGCGAGAGTGTGTGAGTGGCCAGAAGCAAAAGAAGCCACGCAAAATCTCATGCCGTGTTGAGTGCAAATGCTCGGATCCTCCAGGACTTCGGATCCCACATCTGCTTCAATATCACGTGGTGTTCAGTTTCATTTGTCTGCCTCTGGGCAGGCCATGCTTTCCTCTGAAACCACCGATGACCACCATTTCACCAACTGTTCCAAGTAGATACTTGGGACGGTCAACTGTCAACTAATCATACTAATCAACAGGCTGGGGGGAGTTCAAACGTTCACAAATTGTTTGCAGAATCGCATGGCCAAGTAGAATCAAGCTGGGTTGACCAGGACCTTTCCTTCTGGATGCTGCAGCTTTACAAATTGAACAATCGGTCACACTTGCCTCATGTGACCCACATCCCAAATTTGCCAAAGGAGGCGGCACCCAGAAACCCGCCAAGATGCCATTGGTCTAGTGAGCTCGAAGCAAATGACCAGCAGGCAGACTTGCAGTACCACGCAAAGGTTCTGACAGAAGGAAGACCTGAAAACAAAAAACAGCCAAACAACAAATTTCCGTCAGACATTTGATGATTGGGACTCTTGTCCATGTGGATTGCAAAACAGCTTCGTATTAGATTTCATATCGGGAGTCTACAATACCCCGCAAATGTGGTTAGCATTGGATATCTTTGTTCTAGAGGTACATTAATCCGCCTCTTAGTCGCAAGGCGCCCACTTGATTGAGTGCAACTACCCGGTGGAGGCCGGAAGCCGACTCAATGAGCCTGATGTCATCTGGTTTCTCGGTTTCTCACGTTGGCTGAGCGTTCCAAGCAGTCAAGTGCTCTACTACTACTACTACTACTACCACCATTACTACTACTATTATTGCTACTACTACTTCTACTTCTACTACTGCTACTACTACTACTGCTACTTCTACTTATACTGTATACTACTTCTACGGCTACGACTGCTACGACTGCCATGACGACGACGACGACGGCGACAACAACAACAACTACTACTACTACTACGACTACTACTACGACTACGACTACTACTACGACTACAACTACTACATACTACAACTACTGCTACTGCCACGACTGCTGCGACAACAACAACCACGCAAAAGTTTGCTTCCAGAACTGCTACTCAAGCTTTCCACTGGAAGAAAGGGTGGAACTTTCGCGTCCAAAGCCCGCATCGTTTTATTCGACCAGCAGCGATTGGAGCCAACCTGCATCTGGGAGCTCTCCATGCAGATACTTGCCTCCAGCCAAAAATCAGGATTTCATGGCTGTTGCAAAATGAAAAGGAATGAGGAGTGCACTGCAAAAAGTCTACTTTCACGGTGACAATGCCCAAGACTGAGGTGCATACAGATCCAAAGCTGCTGCAAACGTGTAAAAAGCTAGCACAAATGGTGCTAAGTAATAGCTCGAAACGGAAGACTCCTCTATGATCCTATCATGGCAAAGTAAGGACTGTGAGTCTGCAATGGTCTGCAGGTGTGACACACGTGTGGCAGTTCAAAGGAACCCCTGCTCTTCAACTCATCTGTCGGTCGAACGACTCAAGGTGTGGGACCACGATAAGCGACGTGAAGACCCAAATACGAGATGATAGGGGGTATAGAAAAGGGTGCGGCCATGGTGTCCCATTCACAACAATGAAATCAAACAAGTCAAAGCTGGAGCTGGAAAGGTGCTTCTTCTGAATCCCCATCGGCACGAGTTCTGCCTTCCTTCAACTCGCAATGGAATTTCCGGGTGTACCAGTACAAGCCGATGGCGATCTTGGCAGGAAAGCTGGTCATCCCGACAGCGGGAATAATGTGCAAATCTTTGCCAGGGCAATTTTTGGACTCTGCACATGCAAAGATTGCACTAATATGCTTCAAGTTTCCATGGATGGCAGCAACAAAACGGAGCCATGTTACACCCTGGATGCAAACATTAGGTTCCAGTTGCACAACACGAATGGCAGTGTGTCATTGTTCCAAACATTCTGGTCATAAAGGGGCCACCCATTTCCAGTTTGCATTGTTTGCTTTAAAAAGCTGGACGCTGGAAGAGCTTAGCTGGTGCTTGATGGCCCTCAATCAATCCAAAACAATATCTACGACAAGAACTCGTGAAATCTCATGCCATCACTTGTATTGGGGGGGCCGCTTATTCGCTTCTGATCATTTGGGACTTCATCTTTCATCTTTCATGTTCCAGGTCATTTTCCTGGCGGGGGCCTTTGCTTCCCCCGTCTTGTTGCAAATTATTTTGGTAATCTGTTGCACCCCACCCAAGCCCTCTGCTCTTCATACCATGGTTGGACGGTTGATCATACAATGCTAAAGGATAATAAAAACTTTTGTTTTTTTTTATCAATTTTTAGCTACAACATGAAGAATGTATCATCTCCACTCACTTCAACACCTTTTTCATTGACAACTTCCTTTGCAAACTGCTGTTTCATGTTGTGTTCCATTTGATCCGTCCCAAACTTGATATGATCCAAGACTGTCCAAAGACCGCTCTCCAGCGCCCGCGGACGAAACTTCCCCCATCCGTGGGCGCCAGCGGACGAAGGGCAACCGAACGACCTGGACGACGTGATAAACAAGCGGGACGAAGGCGCTAGAGTAAAGCCAATGATCCAAACATAGCTGAACTCGAAGTCCAGCCTTGGTCGATGTCGATCGGTCGTCCACCTGACCATCGATACAGAAATCGATGTCAAAATAAATCATCTGCCATGACCCGCCCTTCATTCAAAGCCGGTCGATGAAGGGACCGGCAACGAGCCTTCCAACGATGTGAAAATCCACATGTTCCACATGACAATCTTACTGCAGCGTGCATCTCTTGCAGTAAGCCGACTTGGTTGGTGTGTTTTTTTTCCTGCAGATTCGGATATAGGTTCGATTGGACAGCTGATTGAGCATGGGCCTGCCAAATAAATCGATCTGAGGCCATCAGAAGCATGTCCATGATACCTCTGATATGGGTGTGTAACTGGGAGTGTAGTTTTCCATGGAGGGACTTCCCAGCTCGACCCTCTGGAAGAAGGACACATCAGGCCCCTCTCGGCATCAGGTCACCTGGACAAGAACAAGGCTCAAAACCATCCCCGTCCCTTCGCTGAGGACCGAGAAAACGCCTTTCAGGCCCCAAGGTGATGAAATGATGGGAACTTGAACATGGCTGAACTTGCTTTTATATTGTTCCATGGTTGAAAGATGGGGTACGAATGGGGGATATTCCGTTCTGTTGACCTCATTGAGCCCTGCTCCATTCCCAACACCACTGGCCATGAGACTTCATTCGATGAATTCCCGCTTGAAAACCTGTGCTGTCTCAGCGAACGTCTTGCGAATGGCCCAAGGGGAATCCAAACGGCTTGTTCTCACAGAATCCTCAAAGGTGAACCGGTGCTTTTCAGGCTCTGTGGTCGTAGCTACCTGTTCAACACTTACACCCCTAACAAATCCTAAACGCAAATATATACATGTTATATATATACAATATAACTATATATAATAAGTAGCCCGGCAACAACAAACCACACCAAATTGGGAAGGCCTTGTTTGGAATGGTAGCAGTCACCATCTCCTGGCGTGCTTAGGGATGACATACTGGAAGGCACACTTCTAGTCAACAGGCTCCCGGAAGTGTCTAAAGTCTAAAGTCCAAAGGGAAAACACTTTAGCACCGGCGTGGCTTGATCGGATCGCCTGCCATAAGGTCTTGGGCCCCGCCTTGTGCGATGGCCAGGCAGGCCAACGAGAGCATGTGGATCTCCACCATGTAATCCAGCATGTCGCCTGGTGAATGGCAGTTCTTCTTCCGGTGAAGCGATTTGAACCGATCTCTCCGAGAAAGGCCGGCCCACGTCTGGCCGGCAGTGCTCAACACAGAAGTCAGGTCACCCATGTCGCTGGTCACATGTCTGGTGTCCAAGCGGCGGTAGTTCTCCAAGACGTAGTGGCTGAAAGGGAACCACGGCGTTAAAAATTCCGGAAGGCCTCATGGTCACTGGCTCCATGAACACACTGACGTCTAGGGTGCCTATCTCTGTTTGTCTTGCTGTATCTCATGGTGTCATGGCAAAATAAAACAGACACAACATGATGTTGCATTATCCGTTGCCTGGTATTTGTATGACCCTACAGCCGGGGCTACATTTGCTGCAATTCCCAACATTTACAAAATGCCGAGAGCAAGGGTCCTGTGGGTCTTGGGATGCGAAGAATCGCTCACAGAGCAGACACGTCACGTATTACCAGCCCGTTTGAACGTCTGGCACGGAAGCAAGCGCTACGGCACAACACAAACGGGTCAATAACCTGCTCAAAATGGGATCAGGCACTGTCCGGATCGTCCAACTTGATGTTGTGCTTCTTCAAAACATCTCCCACCCTGAGCCGGAACAGGCCGGAACAGCAAGACTGATGCCAAACATCTTCTGCGTCCAGCTGCATGAATGCCGTGCTTCCAAGGATCTTTTGATCAAAGAAATCCTTGGCAGTCGCCAATCTGGACATCGACTGCTTTCGTCCAATAGTTTCAGATTGAAAAATCCGATCAAATTGTCCAGCTGTTCTACTTCTCGAAAAGGTCACCCCGTTTCAGCACAAAATGCAACTTACCCATTCGTACATGTCTTCGTGCACAGACATTTGTGACAATATTCCATCTGGTCCAAGACTTTGGGTTGCATTTGGAGGCTGAGTGTGGGTGAGGTTATATCGAGACCCGAATCTTTGGTCGTTATGAGGCAAAATCGTTGCAATATTGTATATCATCTTCAAAAGCAGGGTTTTCTCTGGGGCTGCCACGGTCAATTTGCGTACATGTTTAGATAATTGAAGTATACAACGACAAAACACATTCACAGCCACTTATTGGTCTTGGTTGTCTTCTGTGTGCCTAAACTGGGCTCACTAACGATGCCGGTGGGTTCGCTCAATCACTTCCTCATCTGCTCCCTTGTCCAACACGGCCAGACTTTGAGACCATCCTTATAGAAATGGATGACCTTAGGACTCTGATGCAATGTGATATATAATATTATATATATATATGTACAGTACTTAGTATGGGGGGCCCGACTCCAATACCCCCAAGGCATTCCAAATCCATGCCATCCATGGCCCAACTTCGTGCAAAACAAATCACATGCCAATCAATGCGGACCGTTGGATATATAAGTCTCAACAGATTCGATTGAACATAACTGAACAAATTGCCCAACGCTACTTCGCTGCACGAGGACATCATTGGAGCGAACTCAATGACAAGCCAATATACAACAGGTTTGTCAATATCTAATATCTATCTTATTCTATCTTGACCTGACCAAGACCTAAGCCTCAGGCCTTCAGAAAAACAAAAAAAAACATAGAGGCATGCGTGGCCAGCCGAGCTGAGACGTTCAAAAGCCCAAGGTCCCACCGGCGCGCTACCTTCGGCAAGTGGTCCAGAAAGGTCTGACCTAGACGAGACAAGACATTTGTCCCCCCAAAAAGGTGCGCTGTGGCTGAATGGCTGAGATCAGTGGTGCCCTGCATATCCCCGCCCTCTGCATTACTTTGGCCAAGATTTGGGCTAAAGCTAGTTGTTGACAGAATGGATCCAAAGTCTGATACGAGTTTGACAGAACAATGGATTCATGTGTGTTCTTTCAATGATGTTTGTTGGCTGGGTCGACATGTCCCCACCCCATGAGGCTGAGGCCATGGAAATGGTACGCTGATTAAAAAATGCATCAACCGACCAAAACAAAGGGCGCACAATGTCTTTTTTCTCAGTACATGGCAAAGGTATGCAAAGGTCTTTCCTACCACAAATGATTTTGCCACATCGGTCCGGCATGTCCCGCGACTTCTCGTTCAATCTCCTCTACGTACTCAGACTCTGTCATGACGTGTGACTCATGGCGCACTGTCAAACAGCTTCTGTGGCCGTGGTACACGGCAAGGACTGCACAGCAGGATGCAGGATCCTCCGGATTGACCTCTGCCGATGACGTCATCGGTCCAAGTCAGCCAGTCCGAGAGGCGGATGACCAGGAAGTCTTTGGACCACTGGCTCTCATTGAAGCTAGCTTCTCCCGCCTGGCGGGCCGAATGAGGAGGCCGAGACCACATAGAAGGAACTTCTATACCCAAACACTCCATGTATGGTATATTTACCTACATTGGGGTGGTTTGAGGGGTCAATGTAGGCCTATATGACAAACATGGAGTGTCTGGGATAGATGAACTGAACATTGGATATCATTGGATACATCATGAGAGCCGCATGGTCTCTGTAGATTCACTTGGTCAAGAAACGCTCCGTTGCCGATCCGAACACAGAGTGGCGATGTTCAAGGATTCGTTGAGACATTCCTCATGTCCACCCATGGCACTATGGCACCTGGCACTAGCAAAAGACATGATCGATCCTTATACTAGATAGATACGAACGTTTACTCCATGTCATCTTGCCCCACTCACTAGTGCTTCCCTGTGCTCCCCTTAACTGCTTGGCCATCGGGTCCCTCTGGGCCTTTCCACGGGTTGAGACGAAACAACGCCTCTCCCGGTCGTAGACTTCAAGGGATGCCTCAGAAAAAAAGGGAGGACTCCGACCAGCCAAATACGGTCGGACGGACCTTGTTCCGGGAGTCGAAGAGGCCAAAGCAGGGGACCCCCAAAAGTGAGTGAACCAGTGAACCCATCTCATTCCGGTGGTTCAGCGTGGCCAGCGTAAGAGGCCTCTCTCACGGCTTTTCGAAGCTTACTAAGCATATGAGAAGCCAAAGTCGTCTACACTCCATGGCTTCAGTCAACCTGACCGGCTGCAACCAGACTCCGCAGCTTGAAGTTCGTTGCACCGAAAGAAAGAATATGGAGGGCCTTGTAGTTCGATGGCAAGTCCTTCTTGGGAACATGTGAGCACCTATATCCGCAACCGACCTTCCATGAGGCGTTGGCCGTGGCCGAGTCACCGCCCACTGCTTCATGATATTTTGGGCGATGACCAAGCTCATGGTCATGATCAAGAAGTAGAGTAGGAAAGTGAGAAACAAATGCCTGGGGTGACAAAACAGGTTTGGTCAACAGATCGGATGCATCTTCCAAGCAACGCCGTGTTTTTTCAGACTCTCTCGAAATCCCAATGTTTAGCAGTCAAGCTATCGCAGGCCATCACGCAAATTGTATGAGAAAACATGCTAAAAATAACTGAGTTGTTAAACAAAAATGTTAAAAACGACTGGTAAACCAAGTGCAGGCCAAAAGCATGTGGGTATTCTCGACGCTGTGGAGATACTGCACCGCCGTCTGTGGCAAAGCAATGTCCTCCACATCGCTGCAAATCTCATAGATCCTGGCCGGTCCGCACCGGTCTACACGTTTAGATCGTTGAGCAGAAGGATCCGCAAGATCCTTTGACCAGCGTTTTGGCGGACATTCGGAAACTCACAAAGAATCACATGATTATATGATCATATGATGATGATCTTCCACTGTTGGTTTGGTTGCTTGTCACAAGCGTGAGTTCCGATGCTCCCATCTAGTTGGTATGCGAACCAAGGATGGAGATCCTGGTCCATTTCCGCTGATTTGGATGCCATGTCAGCACCACTTGAAAACACTGCGCGACCAATTGGTTTCGCCCCTAACGAGAATTCATTGTGAGTTGGGCCGGGCTGGGGGTTCACAGCTTGAAGACAAGGCTCACTCTTAAAAGCTCAGATCTCCAGCAAATCCAAACGATGAATGCCTCATGCGACAGGCATGAGGCTTGCTGGTACTTTGCAGGTGAAACTGGCCAAACAAAGATCATAGAAGACCCTCAAACCAACGTGTCTTCATCCCAGAATCCAAAAGTTGTGGGTTGCCCAAATGCATGAGACTCATCAGACCTAGTTTCTCTATGTTTCTCTCATGTTGACCACGCAATTCTCTCAAAAGATTCGGAATCGTCCCTACGCAAAAGAAGGGCGGTCGTAGGGATCCAACTAGCTTGGGTCATTCTCGAGGAGTCATTCCTGGTCACGGTGCTGCCACAGTTGTTGTGACGTGCACCAGCTTCTTCAAAGTGACCTTTCGAAGGTTCCTAAGTGACCCTTAGGAGGCTTAAGTGACCTCAAACCAGGTTATCAAGAGGCCACTCTGAAGAACCAGGTATAAACACATATCAATACATATCAGATAAGCACAAAGTAACTAAGTGGCTTGGCTCTGGCCTGATCCCTTGTCCGCAGAAGTGATACTAGTGCAAAAAACGACAAACAACAGGACATATTGAACCGATTGACTTAATATGATGAACACATGAAAACCAACTAAAGAACCTGAACAGCGCACGCACAAATTGAGGACACACACAAAGCAATGTCCAATACAATCGTGGTGCCAAGCGTTTGTGTCGAATTGGAGTAGTGAGAACTGCAAAGTTGTGTGAACACGTGGCTGGTGCCGCCCTTGAAGGCGAACACTGGATGAGAACACTCGCCCTTACTGTATTATAAAAAACTGCACAGTCACCCATTATTTTGTAGAACTGATTTGCCAAGTTGTGTAACAGTAAAATGGTTCTAGAAAGCACCCCCCCCATGCCTCCAGGTCTTGAGATCTTTGCTACTGCCAGGCTTTGAAACACATGGCGGGGCAGGCTCAAAGGATACAGGCCCTACAGGCTGACTCCCGAACTCCACAAACCACATCTACAAAATCGCTTCATGGATCCCCCAAAAGCTCGCGAGCTTCCCAAACCATTCTTCCGTTCCGGACACTTGGGCCGACTGACCTCGAAAAAGGTACCTCGTCAAGGTGCCAAGATCCCCAAGGTGGTGAACTCTCCAGTGGCCCGGGTGTACAAAATGTACGGCAGAGCTTCGCGGCTTTTCACCTCGATCGCCTGCACCTCCTGGAGCGAAGCGAGTGAAGAGCCGAAACCAAAGACGAAAGGCATCGAAACGAGGTCTGTGATGGTGGTGTGGTTCCCAGGTTGACCAGCGGAAATCCAGTGAACCTGCAATTGCGACCAGGCAGTTCGGACCAGCCATGTGACGGAACGAACCTCTGCAGCGTTTGACGTGTGGAAAAGGATGGCCGAAGTGCAACAGTTGCAAAAACTTGGGACAAAAGAAAGGAACTGATTGACTGATCGCCTGTGGAAGGTTTTGACCATGTGACAAAACCACATTTCTTACACAGACTCAAAAGCCGCGAGGTGTTTTTGCTTGCAACGGGCCCGGAGAAAATGTCAGGATCTTCATTTCGCCACAAACAGTGTCAACGCTGTTGTTTGGGCCCTGATATACACAACAACAAAAGCTGATTGGTAGCTGACCCACAAATGTAACACAACTCCAACTCAACTAATGTAGCGTGGCACTCGAAGTCCACTCACAAAAATGAATACCGACACAACAGCACTCGCTCAAGCTGAAGTGTTTTCCATGGCGTAGCCACGAGGTCGTTGGTGCCCACCCTCTTTGGACCGAGACATCGAACATATGTCGACATGCCGATCACACGGAAATCCGGATGGATTTTCACATGGAGGGAAAAGGGTCTTGAAACATTTCAACATTCTAAATTCAAGGTCACTCTTCGGCGCTTCGGCGGCATCTGTGTCTTCGTTCCAACCGTGAGGAGGTGTGGGAACGTCGCCAGCGGTGTCTTCCAGCAATTTCTCCCAACAAATCCTACACATGCCATCCTTGTTCAACACTCTCTGGCTGTTTCGGATCGTACGGCAGTCATTATAACAATGCCATCTTGTGCCACCTTCGGTGTAAAAACACAAGCCAACTCTCATCTTTACGATTCGTTGTCGAATCCGATACAGCTCATCTCGTGACCTTTCTACTTCTTCCTTCAGTTCAATGTTCTCTGTCATCAGCAGCTGAATCATCTTGGCTTGCCTATACAGAGTAGTAATGAACCGACACCACCTGCACATGCACTTCCACAACACGACTGCGATCAACGGCGTCCCAACAATCAATGAAATCACTGTCGCAATGAAAGCGTAGTCCACTGCATAGTCAGCAAAGAAGGACTCCACCACATCAACTTGCTCACCCACTTCGGTCATGTTCTGAGCGGCTGTCTGTGCAACGTTGCTCAATGCAACGACCATTGAGATTCTTGCAGCAACCTGGTTGGTATATCCAAATGTTTGAGCTGTCGATGTTTGTCTTTCCTCTTTGTTCTTTTTCTTTGCAGCGACGTAGTTCTCATCATGAACGATGCTAAGCCATCCACTCTTCAGCATCTCTGCTAGCTGTTGCCTTGTATGCGACTTGGTCAAACCGTCAGCTAACATTCTTTCACTGCTTACCCAACGAAGCTCTGTTCGAAGCCTTTTGATCTCTTCTTTGATGCATAAAATTTCAATGCCTGCCCTCTTGTCAGCTGCACTGCCAATGCCATCTCCCTTCAAACTATCGAACAATGCTTTGGCATCAACAATGATTGCTGATTTGCAACATGTTGCAGCTGTTTCCTCGGACATGGGATCGAGATCAGGATTGATCATCAATGCTATCATTGTTTTCACCATCATCAACTCGTCCAACGCTGTCGCACATGCCTGGCTTTCTGCACTCAAGCTGGACCGACAAACTCTGGTCAGTTTGAACGAACGCCAACTAATGACGTTGTAGGGCACATGCTCTCCTTGGAGCGCACGGGATGATGTCATGACCACAATGTAGCCTCCTTGACTGCTTCCATCACTTCGCACATTGAATGCAGCATCCGAAAAACACAACAAGCACATGTCATCACCAAATCCGTTGCAAACTGCTGTCATGTTCATCTTGAAATCTGCATTTTGCTTTGCGAACCGCAACGTTTTGTTCAACTCTGAAAGAAGCTCCACCGTTGCTTTGTTGATGTTTGCTGCTGTCAATGAGGTTGACGCATTCAAAAATGGACATCCTTGGCCGGCTGGCCATTGCAGAGCTCCTATCAATGCATGGGCCTTTGACACTTCTGAGGCTGTCAACGGATCTTTTTGTGCTGGACCTTTGTGAATTGTAATCGGCATCACTTTCTTCATGTACTCTTCAAAGTCGAGACTCACTTTCTTTCCGTGCTTTGAAATGCGGCCTCCACAATAGATGATGTCTTCACCTTGTTTCAAATCTTGCCACTTTCCAAAATCAAATGCCTTTCTGATCTCTTGAATCTTGTTCACTGCCTCGTTGTCCTTCATGTTGAAACTCATCAAAAGATCATCAACGTGTACAATGATCAAACCCACCACCACCTGCGATGAGTTGTAACACATGTACGTGCATTTGCACAAACGATGTCTTTTCAAGTTCAACTTGCGAAGGCGTCGATCTGCTTCCGTCCACCAAAGTAGGGGAGCATCACACAACCCATAGGCTGATTTCTTCATCTTCATGTATGTCGGACCTTTGGTTCCCAACATTGCACTGCAGTCTAAGGGCAATTTCACAATGATCTCACGATCAAATGTCGCTCCGGATAAGAATGCTGCCCTCACATCACCACAGAAAATTGTCCAATCAAGCACTGGTGTCAATGACAAAAGAATCATCTTCGACGTTTTGCTTGCTGTAGGGCTGTTCTTCTACAAGCTGAGATAGTCGGGGTCTTGGAATCCACGAAGCACGAGACGTGCTTTTGCTTTCCTTTGAAACTCTCCATCTGCTGGTGGCTTCCAAACTAAAACCCAACGTGCAGTAATCACTCGACTCGTCTGGTGTTTGCCCAACTCTGTGAACTCCCACACCTTGTTGTCGAAGTACTGCATCAACTCTTTCTGCTTGGCTTGAATCATCTTTTCTTTCTCTTCTAGGGTCATGTGCTTCTCACTCACTTCGGCCAAAAATGCCTCGTCCAACTCAAATTCGCCATCAATCAAACACCATCCTTTGGGCAATGTTCCTGACTCCATCTCAACAATGAAGGCGTCCTCAATGAAAAGGTCATCATCGTCAGGAACGGGGATTTCTGCCGCTGAGGAATGGCGAGCACGTTTCATGGCGGACTCAGTGACCTCTTCTTCAATGTCATTCTTCATCTCTTGATCTTCTCCGGTCACCGATGGACATTCTGGCACTTCTGTGGATGGGGAAGCTGATGACATAGGTCGGCCTTCTTCACTTCTCCCACGCTGATACATCAGCGCAGCACCTGGAATCTCATCATCTGGGATGATCACTGGTTCATCTTCACGATCTATTGGTGCTTCCGATGGCTCATATTCAAGAAGATCATCTTGTTCATTGTCCATCAAATCTTCAAGCTCATATTCTTCGGGCTGTTGCAACACATCTCTGAACTGTGTGGTGCTTCGTGCTCGTAGTTCCTTCAAGTCTTCCAATGCAGCCTTGGTGTCAACTGGTTTGTGTAAGCCTGCATCTTTCACAAGGGGTCGTACTTGATGAGGAGAGCAACGAAGCAATGAGGTTCCATGGCACAACCAAAGCACGATCTGCTTGCCATCTTCGTCCCTTTCTTCAGCAACACATCTTGCAGGACCTCTCCACTTGTTCTTCTGAAGAATTCCGGAACGTTGAATCCTCCAATAGTAGCACAACTGTCCCACAACAATGTAGTGCTTGGTCTTCTTGAAATTCTGAAGCATTGCACGACGAAGGCGAGCATCGGAGTCTGCTTTCAGAAATGCCATCTGTGCTGCTAGCCTCTTTGCTTGGATCTGATTGAAATCAAGTGGATCATTCATTGGTGAAAAACTTGGATTGAACACTCCTGCCGTCAAACTGTATGTGTCAGCTGCTGACCTGCCAAAACCCACTGTGCTGGTGTAAAACCTCGGGTGTAGCTCAGTGAGTTGATTTGTCCTGGACAGTAAATGGCAGCCTCTTCGAGTGTTTTCTTGTCACGTTTGCCACGCTCCTGCATGTAGATCTCGAGGCTTTTCCTGACCACTTGATGCTTCCTTTCAATCGAGCCCATCCAGTTGTGACTCTCAGCGGGTGCTATCTCCAAAATCACATTCCTTTCAGAACACCAATCTCGAAGATATTTTGCTGCAAAGCCTTTTCCTTCATCAACTCGAATGTACTTGGGGATGGAAAAGTGTTTGATCCAGCTTCTCTCAATGCCCTTCACTAGATCAACTGAGCGTTCACTCTTCATGATGCGAATGGCCACATATCGTGTTGCTTGATCCATCAATGTCATGACACAAACACGACCATCATCAGTGTCGATCCATGCAGTGTCAGCCATGAGTCGTTCTCCAAACACTCTGGCCGTTAGGCCTGCAGCTGGAGGAACACCTGCTGGTCCTTGGCGAACAAAGCATTCTGGACACACGTAATCCTTTGCAGCATTCATGACATTCTGAGTGGCCTGAACCTCTTCAAGCATTTTGCACAACACATTTGAACCAGGATGGCCCAAATTGCGATGAAGCCTGACAACATAGTTCATAGCTGCCTTGCCAACTTGTCGTCTCAACAATGCGTTGCTTGTCACGGGATCAATGTTGCCTGCACCATCGTCAAACAACTCTTTTGGCAAAACATGTTGTTTGTCATGCTCCAATACTTCAATGTGCTGTTTACTCTCGATTTCCGGTTCAGCCTCTGGCATCTCAACATCTTCATCCTCTTCTGCAGCAAAGATCTGATCATCGGTTGGGTCTTTCTGCATCAAATAAGCCAGCTTCTTTGCCAACTTCTCTGGGTAATCTTCGGCTATCGAACTGCGACTCCTCCCACCTGGAGCATTGCCTTCGATGGGAACGTGGATGTGTGACCCATCACATTGACAAGTCAGGCCTTCGGACAAACTGGCCTTTGTGGTCCGAAAGCATGTGGGCTTTCGTGCCAAGCCCGGGACTCCTGCATGATCAGGAACTTGAAGTCCATACATGCACTGATCGACATAGGTGTCGTGGCTAATTTCCTCAAGACACGCAAATGCTCTCGTGTTCCATGCTCGACTAAGCCAGGGATGTTCCAGCGTGGCTTCTCGTCCTCCTCTGAACTGCTCTTGAAATGCAATGGAACACATCGTCAAAATGGTGTCATGGTTGTATTGTCTATCTTCTGCAAGCTTCGACTTGTACTTCTCCGATTTGGCGATATTCAACTCTTGGATTGGGGACCAAAGTCGACACTTCGGAGACATCATCACCTCATCTGGTTGTTCATCACGAAGCCTGCTCAAAAACCGTGATCGATGGGATGCTATGCGGAAATCCCACCCGGTTTGGAGCGAGAAGATCTCGGTCTGGACGTGTGGGTACTTGTTGAGGTACTTGGATGTTCGACCTGCTCCAAAGACTTCCCACACAACACGACATTTGCTGTCCTTGTTGATGGTGGTGCTCTGACGCAACACCTGCTCTTCTGCTCGACATGCTTCTTCTGCCTTCTTTTCCATCTTTCTCAAAACATGTCCTTGGAGTCGTTTGACCACTCCAATCTCCTCCTCCTGAGCTCCGTCTTCACGACGTGTGTGAGCCGACGTGGCTTCCTGCTGAGGTTTCGACACGTCCAACGTGTCCTCGGCAGTCATCACCTCTTCAAGCAAACTCTTGATGCCTTGTGGAAGGGGTTCACCGACATGAGATTCTGTGTCCTCTGGTAGAAGAACTTGTTGAGGATCATCATTGAGACACTTGCGAATGTCTTTGCCGAGATGAAGGAGATGTTCTCCTCGAGCTCCGACTGGGAGTGGTTCCCAATCGCTGTCAGGCCACTTCATCAACTTCTGACGATAATCAACTGTCAAGCCCAACTGCTCAAGCAATGGCCGTCCAATCAAAATGGGTGCTGTGCCTTTGATCACATATGGCAACACATCAATCCGGCGTCCACCCAGAAAAATTGGAAGAACAATGCACTTGTCTGTTGTCTCCTTCATGCTGTTACCATACTTGAAACCCTTCTGACAGTGGAACATAGGGATGTTGTGAATGTCAAAACCTTCTTCAAGCAGAAAATGAATGTACTTCTTGATCTGCCATGCACTACCCAAAACAGAAGCGGCGCCACCGTCTTGTTGTGCTGTGTCATCTCCAACAAAATCACCATCATCCATGTCCATGTGAAAGGCCTCCGTGGCAGCAGTCACATCTTCCACCATGTTCACTCCAGCCTCCAAATCATCATTTGCCTTGCGCTTCTTGTCACCTCCAGGCGGCATAGGGCAGTTTCGTGCCCAATGACCTGCATTACCGCACCTGAGACAAAGCTGTCGACCGGCATTGTTGCCCATTGCAGCAGCTGCTCTTCCTTTTGGATTCGGTGCTTTGCCACCCTTCGGATTTGCTCGATTCTTGCCTTTTGATGACTTGGATTTGCCACCACCTTTTCGTGCTGGACCCGACGAACTGCCAGGCATGTGTTGTGGCAGCATGGCAACAACTGGATAGAAGCCTCTGGAGTTTCTCAATGCATTCATCTTTGCTTTTGCATCCTGGTAGTTGGCGTAGATATCATCAAACTCATCAACATCATACACTTGATCAATGCTGTCTGCAAAAGCGACTTCCTCATTTGCATCAGTCATGGTTCATCACTTCCTCGATTGTCAGTCCAGTCGTCCCAGTGTTTGTAAGAATCAGCTGTCGCTGCTCCTTGGTGATGCCGCTGCGACGCAAAAACCACCATGCACGGACCTTTTCCGGAAGATTGACACTGTGCGTCACCTGGAGCCGTCGTTCACAACGAGTGTAATCGTTCATGTAGTCTTGAAGTGTCTGATGCGGCTTCCGTTGTAGGCGAACAAAATATTGCTCAAAATCATCCGGTAATTCAGTCAAAGGATCATATTTGAACCCTCGACCCAGCCTCGTGAACAATGTATCATATGCGTCTTCTGCAGCCATTTGCTCCATGCTCATATCTTCAACCAAGTCCCAAGCCTTTCCAGTCATCAATGTGACCAAATTGTATACGACTTCGGAACCACGGTTTCCAATCTACATCTTCTTTCTGTAAATCTCGCATCTCTTTCTGAACTCCCTGTAATCCTGCATCTGGTTGCTAAAAACAGGCACATAATTGTCGAGTTTCGCGGTGCTCACCCCACTCGGCACTGATTGCGGACCGGCAGTCTGCGAACCAGAGCCTGACCCTGGACCATTGGCTTGTCCGGTCTTTGGAGGCATAGCAACAAACCTCCGCGGATGCCCCGTAGGGCTCCGCTACCAACAACAAAAGCTGATTGGTAGCTGACCCACACATGTAACACAACTCCAACTCAACTAATGTAGCGTGGCACTCGAAGTCCACTCACAAAAATGAATACCGACACAACAGCACTCGCTCAAGCTGAAGTGTTTTCCATGGCGTAGCCACGAGGTCGTTGGTGCCCACCCTCTTTGGACCGAGACATCGAACATATATCGACATGTCGATCACACGGAAATCCGGATGGATTTTCACACACAATATATTATATATTGACAAGTGATTGTGGACGTGTAGCCTTTCCACTTCAAGTCACTCTTCGCGCTCCTTCGACGCTCTTTTTGCAACTCTGCAACCCTGATCAAACCAGAGTTTTTGAACAACGAACCTCAATGCGCCATCTAAAAAGCACAACATGTGCTGACCGCATATTTCACAGTGAGCAACGCCCGATAACCCGTGTAAACGTAGACAATAAACAGCCGGGTGCCGCTACGGTCGGGTATGCTGTGGATGCGAGCGCTCTTTTTATGTTAAGTGACAGGCCACTTGAGCTTTTGAGTCAGCCTTTGAAGAGGAGTGTGGAATCAACACAAGTGTCACGAGTAAAGCTCGAAGAGAAAGGCGAGCCCGATACTGGATGGCTGAACATGGTTGAACCATATACATCTGGCGGTTTCGTCCATACCCCAAATACACACCGACAAACGCCTCCTATCTTGGCAGGGATTCCCGTATACCCCGACCATGCCGCATGCCACCCTTAAAGCGACTGCGTTCAACAAAGTGCACACCGTAGCATGAAACAAACACACATCATTTCGCGTGGAGGTGCACTGGCGGAGCATCAGCCAGTAGCAAGAAACAGGTGATGCTGCTTCTTGGATGTCTAAGTATTGATGCAATCTATGTATTACGCATGGTTACTCCTTTGACAAGGCTGATGCCCGTTGTGTTGCACTGTTGCTGAAGCTGGGAAGGTTTGGGAATGCTGTTCCAAGTGATTTGGCCAAGAAATGCACCACACAAACTGAACTAAATATCAGCAATGAGCTTCAATCACATTTAGAGAGGGTATTGTGATGTCTTGATTTTGCATTTAGAGAGCTCCAGTTACATTGCCACTTACAAGAGAATTGATAAGAACCTTTCACAGGAAACATGGTGGCACTTAAAGGTTGACCTTTAGGATTCTGCACTTCTGTCACTCTCAGGGCTCTCCTCATCTTCCGCGGGGAATTCCTTGGTGAACATGCTCATCTCGTCGATTGCTTCATCGTACACCGTGTGCAGTGTGTGTCTGTGTGTGTCCCTGTTTTCACCTTCACATCTTCACCTTGGTACGGCTCGATCACATCTTCACCTCATGTGGTCTTGTGCTCCAAAAGTACTACTGCAGGCTTGTAGAATCCTTCAGCTCAAACTCGCTGACACTCCAAGGATCCGCTTTCCTGGTACAAATCCCCAGCTTGTGCTGGAGAGCATCTGTGCACCTGCGCAGAGGTCCCATGCTGACAGCCTACCGGGGGCTGCCTACCGTTGCATGTCGCTATCTGAGGTTTTTCGTGAAACCAGTGTGCGATCCATGGTAATCAGCACAGAAACTCCAAGACATGTATAAATAACTAATGATAAATATATAATATATATATATATACATCTACCCTAGAAGTCCAACGTGTCCAAAAACAGCCACCAGGGCTTGAGAAAACAATGCAGGATTGCAGGACTCACAGCTTGTCACTTGTGTAAGGACAATCAAATTCCAAAGGAATACACCCTAGACAAACTATACCAACAAATCAAGAAGAAACAGTACCCGTACCCGCCACCGAACTGCATCACCGAGCCAAGCCACAGGGTGATGGCCACCAGCGCCACAATGACCACCTCTTCAAAATGATGTACTTCCTCAGGCAGTGGCAGTATGCAATACGTGAAACTGGGTGTGTCAGTCCAAGCAGCTTAGTAAGTAATCCAAGGAGATTACACAGTACAAGCAGTGAGTTGCTTGTAGAAAAACCGCTGGAGGTGTAGTAAAACTACCCTTCGGTCGGCCGATTGGCCATCATCCATGGGCTGCCACAACCACACATATTGCCACGCACCAACTAGTACCATGTTCAGTTCCAGCCCGGACTCTGTTTTTGTCCTCGGGATGAGACATAGATACCTGCACTTGTTACTAATAGCTTCTTTGTTACTACAAGTACAACGAGGGCCGTTTCTACTTACCCAATATAGGGCAAGTTAATAACATTGGTTAAATTTAGTTTTATTATAGCTTTAAATTGATATTAACTTCGACATGTTGACGTAAGTTCTTAAGTTTTTGTAAGTCAACCTACAGTGGTTAGCAGGCTTAGTATGTTTGGATAAGTGTTCCTAAATGTTTGGTCTGTCTTTTCAAACCTGCGAACCTGACAACTTAGCAGAACTTAGCGGAACTTAGCTTTTACAGTCGCAAAATGAGAAGGAGAAGTTGCTGGTGCACTTTGTCAAGTGCGTGCGGAGTTTCTGCAAAAAGAATGAAACATGCTTCTTCAGTTTGCGAATGGGTGTTGAGTTGTTTTTCATTCTCTTCGCAATAGTCTTTGTTCATGACTCTCTGCAGTGTTCTTTGTTCAGCAGATCATTTGTATGTGTGGCCATGACTCTGACTCTGCGGCAGCTCGCGAAATACTGCGTGGTCCCAATTGAACAGGGGCAGGCGTTCAACTTATACTTTGTTCAAGATGTGCTTCCAGGCCTGCAGTGGTCTGACACAGATGATGCATTCCAACCAATTCAAAAAGCTCGGGACCTTCTTATCGCGCCACGGCATGAGCAGAGCACTTGGATAATTGCATACGAGAGCTACTATTTTCAGGTGAAGGATCAGCTGCACGTGCAGAAAGATAATGTTGTGGCCATGCACGTTTGGAATGAGTATGACCAGTGTGAAGAGGTTTTGTTGTTTACGTCGGAGCCTGCCGAGAAGTAGTGGGTTAATCCATGTTTGAGCGGCTTGGTGGGCCGCTTGCAGGATGTTGATTTTTGCGAGTGAAAAAGAGTTTGCAAGTGTTCGTTTTCTTTTTTGCGCTGTTTGGTATAGCTGGGGCACGGTTTGTAGAGGCTTTCAGGGCCGTTCTGTGGGCCGCCTATAGTTGTCGTCAGCTCATCTTCTTTTTCTTTAGGAATCGTTGGGCTCAACTTCCAGTGTGTGTTGCCAGTTCTGGTCTTTTCCAGAACTGGGTGTGTGTTGTGCGTATTACTTCCAGCGTCGGCTATTAAAATCCGACACTGGCTAAATAGGATTTTTTGTGCGTTGCCAGTTCTGGTCTTTTCCAGAACTGGGTGTGCGTTGTCTGCGTTCTATATATACATGTCATCAGCGAAACATTTTATACAAAAGAATATTTCTTTGCTGAACTTTGCTGGAACTTTAGATGCAGCACTCTGAGCTTTTGTAATGTCTTGCCAGGTTTGGCTTTTCTTTGCGATAGGCTGCGGGCGGTTTTGTGGACCGCCTTATAGTGTCCGCGCAGCGCCATGGCTGATGGTGTGGAGACTCAGATGAAGGCATTGATCGAGTTTCTGCGCGCCTCATCGGCAGAACCAGTGCTCATCGAAGCCCATGTGCGATCCCTTCGAGAGAAAATCTCAGCACTTCCCAAAATGTCCTTGGAGCAAGCAACGGCTTTGGCATCTACAGTGAAGTCAGCCGAGGGTGTGATTGAGGGGAAGGATGTGAAAGCAATCTTAGATGCCCTGCATGAAAAAATGAAAGGTGCTCCTTTGGATCCGAAGGGGAAACGCCCAATGCAAGAGTGGTTGACTTGGGCGTGCTTCTTGACGGCAGACCTTTGGGAAGTGATTTTGAAAGGAACCAACACATCTCTGGTTCTGAAGCAAGTCGTGCAGTTCTTATTCAATCTTGGCCTGCGATGTCCCTCAGAAACGGTCTATGGGACACTCACGGCCATGTTGGTTTTGAGAATGCCTGAGAATGAGCGCAACTTTCAAACCACACAGGACTGGTTCAGCTTGCACACGACGGTCAAGACCCAAGTGAAGGCTATCTTAGAGATGTCAAAAGGCCAAGACCCGGGCATCATTGGCACCTACCTTGTTTCTCTGCCAGGTGACTTCAGAGAGCTCCATGAAGATCTGCGGAGGAGAATGTACGGTGACTGTGGGGAGCCAGTTCCGCCGAGGAATCTTGGAATGGTAATGTAGATGTTTCATTTTCCTGTCTGTTCTTGGCATCTGTTCAAAGGAAATCTATGTACATTTAACGGTTTACAGACATGCAAATGCATTCAGTCGCGTACCGCTTATTGATGGTAAGCAGGAGCCTAAACCCACATAGACGTGTGCATCGACCTTTGATGTCGTCATTGTGTTTTCTGTTTCATTGCCACTGCTGAGGATTCAGACGGAGAATCTTATCTTTTTGGCGAGGACGATGCCTTTGCGAAAATCCCACAAAGAAGCGCCGCGTCCTGCAGCCTTTTCTGGGTCATTGCAGCATGGCTTCCTGCCAACTCATTTGATGCAATATATGGCTCAGGCCATGATGTCGAGCTGTGGGCAGCTGTCTTCGGGGTGTATGCCAGGTATGGGGTCTTTGAACCAGTGGGCTCATCAACAGGGCCAGGAGCGTTCCATGACTGGCCCTACTGCTCCGAGAGTTCCACTTGCTTTGACAATGGAACCGGAAACCTTGCCAAAGACAGAGAATTTGACGACAACTAAGCCCATGGATGGACATTCCAGGGCGTCTACCCCAAGCCCACCGGCAACAACGTCTCCTGCGGCGGTTGAAACTATTCAACCTACTGCTTTGCTTTCAACTTCAAGCCAGGAAAACTTGGAGAAGCCTGAGAACCCGGGTGTGTCAATGCCAGAGGCACCAAAAGCTGACAACCTTGGTGCCGTGGAGCAGGATCGGCTGCAACCACCATTGGAGGTAAAGTCCAAAACCGATCCTGCGGTTCCACTGCCTGAAAAACACGATCCTGTGGTTCCAGGGCCTGAAAAGCACAAGGGTGTGAAGTCTGCGCTCTTGAGCTTGGATGAGGCAATGGAAAAGCGTGAGACTGACAAGAGAGGCATTCCAAAGTCAGGCGCCGCAATGAAGAGGCCAGCCGCTAAAGGCCCGACTGCGAAAGCAAAAGCTAAAGCAGCGAGCGCCAAGGCAAGCAACGTCCCAAAGAAAGTGATGTCTTCTTCGAAGCCTGTTCAGAAAGCGATGGCAAAGACCAAGGTGAAGAAAAACGCAAAGTCGAAGTCGAAACCTTTTCTCCGGCCATGGCCGTCTCAGAAAGAAATGAAGAAGTGGAAGCCTACAGGTTGCAGCAAGTGCAGAAATGTTCCTGGCTGCACCACCTCATGCTGGGTGCAACGAAGACATGGTCCACCACCTTCAAAATGAGGACAGCTTAGCTCTTCTTCGTCAATGTGACCTGCAGCTTCACAGGCCGCACTGACTGTCAGCGGCCTGCCGCCTCAGTGACTTGTTGGGGTAGGGATGCAAGAGACATCCTTCAGTTCTGTAATTTTGAAGCTGAATCTGACCTGCAGCTTCGCAGGCGCACTTTCTGAGCGGCCTCGTGGGCCGCCTCAGTGATTTGTTGGGGTGGGGATGCAACAGACATCCTTGAAGCCAGCTTTTGCGGGTATAGAAATGTTGTTTTGCCATGGTGACATTCAGTAGATAGATAATCTTCCTGGAAACCCATGTGTTGTTTGACTTGCTTTATGTCGTGCCACCTGTCAACATGTATTCCCAGCTGCGCTTCGTTTGTGTGTCACAAGCAAAACTGCGAAACTACACTGAAACCACAAGTGGGTACAAACTGTGCCACTATGTTCCACTGTTAAGTACTGGAGGGTTTAATTTAATGGCCCCTGCCTGTTCTAAGAATAACCACTTTCAATACAAAATTATGTGAACGAAAGCAGTGCAAGGGAGTGTTATCTACCACATGTTTGCTTTCTAGCGAGCCATGTCTGCCACTACATCGTCCTCCCATCAACCAGGTCGTTCACGACACAGGCGCCGCCGTACTTCCAGGAAAAGAGAAGATAGAAGCTCAGAGAGAGCACTACGAAGGCGCAGAACATTGCGCTTTAATCAGGTCGTCAGCCCATCTCCTCCTACAGACAATGAAAATTGCTTTCATTGGCGAGCTTCAGATGGCGTGGAAAAGGCCACTGCGTCCACATGTGGTTCTTCCCAAGTGAAGTTGGAGTCAGAGATGCTTGGTGCCCAAACTGAGCAGCCCCAGAAACGAAAACATAGAAAAAAGCCGAAGTCCAAGCCGGAGAGTCCAGAAGAGGTGAAGGCCTGCGTGTGTGTCGCAAGATATCGGCGCAAAAAGGAGCTGGATCCAGATCCCGCGCAGCACAACCATGATCCTTCTCCTGAAGTTTCAGAGACTTTGGCAGAGACTTCAGAGGCAAAAGTGCAGGATCGTGGGCCGCCAAAGCAATCAGATGTCCAGTCAGAGATTTCGCACTTGGCAGCAGCAGATGCCCACCACTCAGTAGATCTTAAGCCAGAGATTTCTCAATCAGCATCGACAGATGCCAATCCAGACATTTCGCAATCGGCATCACCAGATGCCCAGCCAGAGATTTCGCAATCGGCATCAGCAGATGCCCAGCCAGAGATTTTGCAATCGGTATCAGCAGATGCCCAGCCAGAGATTTTGCAATCGGCTTCATCAGCAGATGCCCAGCCCGAGATTTCGCAATCGGCTTCATCAGCAGATGCCCAGCAATCAGTTTCACCATTGGCATCAGCAGAGGCCCAGCCAACGGATTCGAAAGAAACACCAGCTCCAAATAGTGAGACTTCGGCCCAAGCAGTGGATGCCCAGCAGCCAGCCGCAGAGCAAGAAACGCAGCCAGAAGCGCCAGGATGGAAGCAGCGCCTATGCAAAGATGGTGTGGTGCGTTGGTTCATGGAGTACCGTGACGATCATGGTTTCAGAAGCAAACGAGAATGGGAGCGACAAGTTTTAAAGAAGAACCGCAGCCGCCGAGGCAAGTAGGATAGAATAGCGTCTGTGCTGGAAAAAGAGATGGCCGAGCATGAGTGGGGATACGTTTCCAACAAGGTTTTGAAACGCTATCAGGAGGGTTTGTTTTCAGCACTGCGTGCAGAAGACACATGGTAGATCACAAACGCATCAGTTTTGGTACGTTTCTGTAACTAGGTTCCTCTGGCATTTACTTGTGGCGCTGTGCTTGTTTAAGCGTGGGGCTGCTCTGTGGGCAATTTAAGCATAAAGTATATGGTGCACAAGTTGAGGGTGGTTTGTTCAAGCATCGGGCTCTGTGGGACGCCTTTCCCCCACACTCATGCACATTTAAGCATACATGGTAAACAAGTTGAAGGTGGTTTGTTTTAGCATGGGGCGGCTCTGTGGGCCGCCTATCCTCCACACTCATGCACATTTAAGGGTACATGGTAAACAAGCTGAAGGTGGTTTGTTTAAGCGTGGGGCGGCTCTGTGGGCCGCCTATCCCCCACACAGATGCACATTTAAGCGTAACTGGTAAACAAGTTGAAGGTGGATTGTTTAAGCGTGGGGCGGCTCTGTGGGCCGCCTATCCCCCACACAGATGCACATTTAAGCGTACACGGTAAACAAGTTGAAGGTGGTTTGTTTAAGCGTGGGGCGGCTCTGTGGGCCGCCTATATCCCCCACACAGATGCACATTTAAGCGTACATGGTAAACAAGTTGAAGGTGGTTTGTTTAAGCGTGGGGCGGCTTTGTGGGCCGCCTTTCCCAACACTCATGCGCATTTAAGCGTACATGGTAAACAAGTTGAAGGTGGTTTGTTTAAGCATGGGCTTTCCCCCACACTCATGCACATTGTTTGGACAAATTAAGAGAGATGTAAATGACTGAGATAGCAAACGTTTCCTGACAACTTCAAATTATTGAGCTAGCGCGGGGGCTTGCATTAGTTGCAACACCGCGCCTGACCGTGAAACGTAACTTCAAAAAAATAAGAGAGCGCGGGTGGTTTTGCATTAGTTGCAACACTGCATAAATGATCGTTCATAGATGTACATATGCTGTAAGATATACGTATATGCGTCCAATATACATCAATATACGCCCAATATACGTCAATATACGCCCAATATACGTCAATATACGTCCAATATACATCAATATACGTCCAAT